AACATTCAAATTCACGAATTGCGTACAATTTACAATAAAACATTTTAGTTTTCTGCTCCAAAAATGCATGATTAGCGCTCAATCTAAAGAGTCGGTTTTTCAGAAGATTGTGCTCTTTACAATCGAGTCTTAACGATCCAAATGGGGCCAGGATTAAGAGAGTTATTGAGAAAAAAAATATTCGCAACCAAAAACATTTTTTCCAAAAATTCGGATTTTCGACTACAAATGTTTTGGAATGAATGATCTTGCTTTTGATGAATTTAAAATTTCCACCTGAAGCCAGTATTAAGAGAAATTCGTACTGAAACCAAATGTCATGAAACTCCAATCAATTGTTCATCAAAAATATTTCAAAAACCTTTCGGAGCGCATTTTGAGAACAAAGCAAACAAGAGAACTTTGAAAAATGTCATTTTGACTGGTATAGTTTTTAGAAAAAGTTGCGAAAAACTGAAGAATCGGAACAGAATTGAAGAATCTGTTGAAAATCGAAACAGACTGTTGCACTCTGAATAGAAAAGAAAAATCAATAGAAGAAACCGATAGAAAGTAGCACTTTTCAGCAACGTATTCAAAATAATGAAGTTTGCCACATGCAACTTTGAAAAATTGTTGAATTTTCCTGATGACAGAAATTATAATCTTTTCACCGTTCTAGAACAGAATTTACCCTGCAAAATACACACAGAAGCAAGTCACGAAGTTCATTAGTTTGCATTTTCGCAAAATTTGACCGAAAATCGAATATTTGCTCACTTATAGAAGGGACTTTGCCCTAGAAAATTATCGCAAAATTGAATGAACTGAAATCCAGACGCAAACTGAAATTTAAAAAAAATTGTCGGATGGTGAGTGAAATCGAAACTTTGTTCACTTATGGAAGGGACTTTGCCCTACAAAACGAATCAAAAGTTCGTTCTCACTTCTCAAGTTAGAGAGAGGAACAGATGAAATCAATGTTAAACTCCTGTCTGCAAAAAGCTGTGCGAAATGAGAACTTATTGAAGATTATTGAAAAATAGGTTGCCCGAGAAGCTGACGTCACGGGCCTGCAAATAGCCAACTCTAAACCAGACAGGGACACATTGAGCTGCTTCATCTAGTTCAAGCAAAGCCTCATAAGAGATGCTTTAGAGACGCTGCGAAATCCCCAAATCGAAGCAAAGCAATAACAAGAAGTGATTGGTAAGCCAAAGACGTGTTGTTTTTTCTTGTCGGCGAACGGCTTTATTGGGTCATAACACAATCAGGACAAATGAGATATTGTTCGGAAACAAAGCGCGACGTCTCCGCGCTACAAATTACATCATTTTTCCAAATCCCATTCGTTAAAAGTTTTCCAATCCCGGTGTCGAGAGCGACACCCGGCCATTGCCAGATCGATTTCTATTATTTTTATCGCCGGGGATTTTCTATTATGTCATTTTGGTGCGCCAGGGGCGCACACCTGACCCGAAAAACTCCTCCCTGACACAGTAGAGGGTCAACTCACCTGTAAATCAGCTTCCTTCTCACCGAGCGCTTGAAGAATCCGGAGCAACCGTTGCATGCGAGGATTCCATAGTGTTTTCCCGAGCTGGTGTCGCCGCAAACCACGCAAATTAAGCCCGGGGTGCCTTTTTTCGTCGGAAGACTCCAGGGCGGGGGCGGCGTCCTGGACGCCTGGACCAAAGTCTGGGAGTTGGGGAGGCACAGGGCCAATGGGTGCTCGTTTTCCGTTGAGTAGCAATCGACGCTGCCAGGCGACGTGCGCAAATCTGGAAACCGATCACAATCACTCCAAACAACAAGTTTGGAAATCCCCATCCATATACAGGGTGATTCAAAATTGGAGTCATTCCTTTTAAGGGTATACAGGGTTATTCAGGCTGTACGGCACGGAAGTTTGCGGCTAAACCGTTTGATTTTTAAAAAGTATTATTTTATGAATTGTCCGACGCCTACCGAGCGCACATTTTACAAATATCTTCGTAATGTACAAGGTGTCCCAAAAGCTTTAAAGGTATCAAAGTTGCGTTTTTTAAATGGAATGTCCTGTACATTATTGCATTTTTGGATTCGCTGAACACAATAAGTGTCTGTTTTAATAAGGTTTACAACACCTAAATCTTAAGGTTTTTTAAATAAAACCAATTTAATCAAAATCTAATCTAATTTTCACGTGTCAAATCCTTTAGAAGTAGTTAAGTTATATAAGCGTAATTTATAGTGAAGTGTAACAATATATAATGTTTTATATCCCAATGATAATAAACTTACCATGTTATACACAAATTTAAACTAATCAAATGAGAACTTTAAGTGGCTCTAACTTGATTAATTTAAATACAACCCCATATTTTTTCACTTACCAGGAAATGCAATTTTTAATTACCTATCGAATGGTATTAGGATGTTAATAGCTAAGTTTTTGCCTTTTTACAAAATACGTCAAATAGTCGTTCCGTGCACCATTTGGTGATGTTTAATTTAAGGTTCCAATGTAACTAAGTTGGCTATGCCATTGACACATGTCAAATCATTTATTTTATTTGTCAGTTTAGACTGCAAAGTCTCTTTTTGATAGTTAGAGTGGTATTGTTTTTTGTAATTGTAGACGTGCGTGGTCGTGATTTTAATATTATTATTGTGTTGCTTAGTTAAAATGAAGAATTATCCAAGAGAAGAACGTATTGACATGATTTTCACCGTTGGAGACTGCCATAAAAA